TTTTTACCATTTGTAACATTTTATAGACTGAACAATTCTTTAGTTATTTTCCATAAATACTGAATACTATTGAATTATGTACTGCCTATACTGTAACAGATATCCTACATTCATCCAGCACTTAATTCAATGTATCTTTTGTATTTTATCAAATCCTGTTTAAAGATCCATAAAAAATAATCACAGTTCCAGATGAACACATTCAGGTTTATTTTAAACCTATCTACATACTGTATCTTTAATCTTTCTGTATATGCAGCATGAGATTCCTGTTGACATGAGAATGAGAACAGAACATTATATTCCTTTACTGCAGCTGCTTTTATATATTGTATATTTACCGTAATGTGATTTTTTTAATAACTTCTTATTGCATATTTCATCTTTGTTTAGATAATTCTTCTCTGCTACACTCATTTGTTTTCTATTTTTATCTGTATGTCTTATGCTTGTTTTTTATGCTAATGTGCTTCCTGCTGCAACGTCTCAGTTCCCACAAACAGATATTTTAAGAGAATGCTGAAGATGATCCTATGATGAGATTAGTGAACCACGTCTGTTCAATGGTAACTCATAGTTAACTACACGTGAGGAAAGCTGGCACTGAACTGAAACAGCGTTATGTTGTTTCTGCCTCAGAGCGATGTGCCGGGTTGATGTAGCAGAGACAACACAAGAACATGTGCTGTATCATGTGACTGAGCACTGGAAAGCTTATGTAAAAAGTGCTGCTCATGTGCTTCATATCCGCTTGTGACTTACTGTAATTTAGCTCCTTTAAAATGGAAAAATATCAAAACAGTAGCGGAAAAGACTGAAGAAAAGACTCTATTATGGGTAAACCTACAATAAACATAGAATGACAACATACATATTTATGGCATTTTTGTTTTTTTTAACCCTTATTTATGTTATATATATGTTAAATATTGTTAAATATTTGCTGAATATGCATTTAACAGCCACTTCACACTGTTAAACACCCTGGAGCTGCCACTTTCTCATCTCTGTTCCCATAACTTATGTATACCATTGATGAGAATGCCTACAGCAGCTTAGACAGCATCTAAGCCATAACACAGACATCCCTCTTTCACACATGCATGTCTGGTAAACTGCAGACAAAACATACAGAGCGCACTGGTGGTGCGAGTGTTTAGCTTACAGACACGTGTATTGATTAAGTATTGATCGGACTGCTGCTGAAGTTGCAGGGTTATGTGTTATTGGTACTAGGTCAGTAGAGGTGAGCGTGAGCTAATGGAGTGGGAAAGCTTTGTCACAACTGGAGTAGAGGGGGAGCAAAGGTGAAGCCCATTTGGGATCTTGCTACACCATTATCAAAATTGGATCTATAAGTAGCTCTCACAGTTTTTAGTGATTCTCTCCTTCCAGCTACTTTAGAAAAGAATTGTCTTTCCACCACTACTTTTAGGGAGACACAATGTGGACTTTTCAGGCA